TTAGTACAGTAGTTAATGTCACAGTGGATGTTATAACTTTGGTAGTAACATCCATCGTGTGCTTGCCAGAATTTCAGTATGCATATGTGGCATAATGATACCGTCCGAGTACACTTTTCTACCTATCTAAGTTTTGACATCATTAAAACAAGTGTAGCTACATATGAGGATTGCCCTCACAGAGGCATATGCCAAAGTTTCCTTTTTTTATTTTATTTCTCAATCTTTGGTACGTGAGAATTTGTTAGGGAGAATGACGAGGTGGAATTTTTAAGGAATGAATCCGTTAGATTGTGTGTTGCATTATCTTGATTCTGTGGGATTGTGTGATTTGTGAATTACTTGCTTTTGTCATCTTCTGCTATTCTAGAAGGATGTGTAGTCCCATATAAATTTGTGATATTTGTGAATCATTGTGAAATACTTGTACTCTTACATGGTGACCTTTGTGGCATTAGTGTACTATGGATGTTTACTATGATTTGGTTAATTTGAATTGAGATGCATTCATCCTTTGGAAATCATGTGTGATCACATCTATATATACTATTGCCATGTCTGTGTTTAACTGTTAGTACAACTTTTGGAGTAGCCTTGGTCTTGTGCCTATTTTTTTTCATTGAATCATATTCTCTCATTATGTGTTAACCCTTGATTCATCCTGTTTTCATATACTGCCTGGGCATGAGTTTGGTGTATGATGGATTAACATGAACCTTGGCACAAACTTTTTGGGATGAAGAAGATGTTACAAATTGGTTTGAGGATGAGACTGATCATGAGTTGTCTTGGCACAAAAATGAAGCTACGCTCAAAGCTTCTTGAAGGTAAATAATATTCTTTGTATTTTGGTGAAGCATTTGTCTTAGCAAGAATACTATGTTTAGTGTTTTGTAAGTTAAGGATGAACTCGCATTTGTGAAATTGTAATTGTTTTGGGGTTTAGAAATTTGAATGACTACGTAATTGGAATGGTTTGAAATTAGAATTTTAGTTGAAAGTTTTGAGAGATGACTATGAGTGGTGGTGAGTTTATTTTCAACGAAAGTTGTCATGAAACTTGTTTGATATTGTGATGAAATTTGGTCGAATTTTACTTGTGTATAGATTAGTTGGGATTTTAATGGCAATAACATTTTTGCAGGATGACTTGAGGATGAAGGAAACCTGCCCGATCATGAAATTTGAAGGACTAGTCTGTGGCTTTAGAATGACGTTGGAGCATGAAAGCCATTGGTGTAGAACTCCGATCATTTGGAGGAACCAACCGAAGAATTTTATTCTTTAGGCTTAGGTTTAGTGTAACCTTATCGAATGTTTGCTACCAAAATTGTAACAAAACTTGTACTTCTTTGTAACTTGGAACTCAAACAATGAAGTTTGGTCCTTCTTGCAATTGAGTTCTACGAAAAATCAATCTTGTATTTTCCAATTAAACTCTTGGACCAAATGTTTTTGCCTTGAAACATGGTTTGTAAAAACAATTTAAAGTGACTTGAAGATAAACTCTTCATGGCTTGAAACACACTATAAACAAATATAGCCAAGGGCCCTATGATAAGCTTTACTCACGGCCTAGCTTGAAATAAGTGTGACTATAGCTTGGGACGACTTAAACTAACTCTTAAAAATGAATTGAAATATGTCATGGACAAATTAAATCTAAGCTTGCTTAATTTGATCACGTCTTAAAGTTAATAAATACAATCCAAGTTTGCCACCAATTGACCTCGAAACTACACATATTTTGAGACTTGCAACAAATTCAATCATGGCTTGGTGTAAATTAACCATGTCCTAAAATATGAATGATCATAACCTAAAATCACTCACAACCATGGTTGATAACAAACTTGAAACAAACTGAGACAAAGCTTGAAACAATTCTTTCAACCATGACTTGTACATAATCTTGAGCCACTTAAAACATGATTTGAATATGGCCTAAAATCTTCTTGAGATATGCCTTAGAATCATCTTGAAGTCAATTGAATTATCTTGAATAACTTGAACCATAACTTGACTAATTTGATCTCTATCAACTTAAAAAAAATTAAGTCAATGCTTGTCACAAATTGATCGCGAAGCTTGAAACACCCTTAAGCATGGATTGAGATAATACATTCCAATCATGACACCATATCATCTTGAAGTATGACCCAAAGTCAACTTGAAGTTAATGGATCATGTCTTGACCAATTGACCATGATAATTAGGACACATCTCTTTTCTTGTTTCCATTTGAATTCAACACACTTGCAAGAGCCTGTGATCACCATGAGCCAAACAAAACCTCCATGGTGAATCCACCCAAATGCTTGTACAAGAAAAATAGAAGGTAGGACAAATTTGGGGTATGACAGAGTGGAAAAACGGGTCAGACCCGCCGGATCGGCCCGTTTGCCCACAGGCTTTTTGTTAAAACTTTTTATTTATTTTTACTTAGAATTAAAACAACTTTAAATATAAAAACAACACTCTTCTCTTAGGTTTATGTTCATTGAATTGTATTATAAATTTTTATACAAACAAAATGAATTATAATTGTAACGTTTTTTCTATAACTTTCTAATACATGTGTTGATTGAAAAAAACTTAAAATAAAAGAACAATTGTATGTCGTGCTGAATTATTAGGGGTGTGTTTGGTTCGAGGTAGATGAAGGGGAGGGGAAAATTTTAATTAAATATATTTGGTTCAAATCTTAGGAAGGGAGGGGAAGAGAGCAAAATCCCTCCAAAACACACTTTTTGGCTCCCTCCGAATTGGGGGGATTTGGAGGGGAGAGGAGGGAATATGAGTTTTGATATTTAAAAATTATTATATTTACTAAAATATCCTCAATTTAATTTTAGTATTTCAAAATTATTCATTTTTTTTTCGTGTTACTGCTTTTTCTGGATTGTTTCCATCAACTTATTATAATTGTTCTTCACCTTCAAATTATTTTATAATTTCTATACTTGAGATAAATCATAATCATTGTCTTTTTTTTTTTTATAAAAAAAAATTATGTTTAGTTATATTTGTTTTTTTCTTTTAATTTTGTTATGTATTCTATCATATTTTCTTTTATATCAAATTGTAAACCATTCATTTTATTTATTTTTGTTTATTCATTTTATTAAATATTTTGAACCATTAATATTTAATTATAAGTTATTTTATATATTTATTTTGTTATATGATTCATCACAATTTAAACGATGTTATTGACATATAGTTTAATTTAGGTTGAAAAATTATAAATTGAATCAATTGTACTCAATTTTTTAACTTTATGTAACAAATAATTACTTTTTTAATCACTAAATATTAGAAATTTTATTACCAATAAAAATACTCATGAATTTTTCAAATTTTAATATCATATGACTTATATAAGATCATAAGGATAAAAATGTAAATTATTAATAAAACCCCTCCCATCCCCTTCTAAACCAAACACATTTTTAATTAAAATCCCTCTCTTCCCTTCCCCTCCTCTCTTTTGAAACAAACACTTATCTGATTAAAAAATCCTTCACCTCCCTCCCCTCCCCTTCCCTTCATTAAAATCTCTCTCCTACCCTCCCACTCATTTGAACCAAACAGACCCTAAGTTGTCAAACATTAACTCACATATTTTATTTAGAAATAGATGTTGATTTTAAGAAAAAGGAAGGATTTGATTAGTGTATACTGTGACAAATTTAAGACTTAACTATTAAAGAATCAATAAATATAAGAGTTTATATGATGTAAACAGTGCGAAAGTCCGGTGTTGATATTTTATGCACTGCGATGTTTTATGGAATGTAATTGTTATCATTGTTTGTCCTTTGTAACTTCTTAATTGGATTCTTTTAGTAGTTAGTTTTTAAATATGATTAGGATGATATGTATTGTTTATTTATTTTGATAATTTTTTTATTGTGCTTGAGTTTATTTCATTATTTTTTTGTTGTAATTGATCTTTATTTATTTTACTTTTTAAATTGTTTGGACTTAAGACACGTTACATTTCTATTATGCGTTCTTAAAAAAATATTTGGTCATCCTCTTTAGTAATAAATGTTTTTTTTATTATAAATTACGTAGTAAATCAAATTGTAAAAATGAATTAGCGGGACAGCCCGCCAATTCGTTAGTAAACGGGACAAACTTGACTTCTATGTTCGGACGCCTAAAATGGTCCGCCTCGCTTTACCCCGCTTTTGGACAGACTTAAACGGAGCAGGTTGTCCACTTTGTCACCCCTAATTACCAACATATAAAATAATTTTATATTATGGTTCAATAAAAATACATCACTCACTTTAATGTTTTGGAGTTGAAAATAAATATCAATTTTATTTTTTAAATTGATTTCTACTTAATTATTTTATCTTTTAAATATTTAAAAATTTATATTTTTTGTATTTTTGATAACACTTTATTTTTTTATTTCATTTAAAATAATTGTATTCATAATTAACATTTCACTATATTTAAAAAAAGACATAGGTGCCCATATTTGTAAACTTAAAGTATAAAGCTATTAAAAAAAATTTAAAGAGTAACATTTTACATAAAAATAACTTAAAGTACCCCTCAAAATTTAATTTATATGATTTAGAAAGAAAAGAAAAAAACAAATCAAATTAATTTATGCGTTTTACTATTATTTTTTTGACAAGACGTTTTATTATTATTTAAAAAGAGAAAAAAAAAAAAAAAAAACTTCCACTCTCTTCCTATCTGAACCTGCCCCAATTCGGCGTATAGTATAGGTTTTCATTTCAATCTTCGACTCTCACTCATTTCTTCTTCTCTATCTAAGCTACCCAAAACAAAGAGCAAGGGTTTTTCTCTTCAACCATGTTTTCTTTTTAACTTCAATTTTAAATGTAAATTCAGATTTAGATTCATTTTACTTCACTTTTCCTCACTCAATTTTAGGGCTCTTTCTCTCTCCCTCTCTCTCTTCCCCAAAACCCTTTCCTACCAAGATTTGTATTTTCTGATTACTCGATCTCGCTATGGAATCTCGTGATTCGTTACCTTCTTCTTCCCCCTCAACCAACAACCGCGATGCTCCTTCCGCCGCCGCCGAAGTTGACGACGGCCTTTTCGCTCTCGCCAAAGACGCTGCTATGCATTATCAATCTGGCAAGTTCGTTGAATGCCTCGAGGTCATGAATCAGCTCCTGCAAAAGAAACCTGAAGATCCGAAGGTAATCGATGAAATTATCCTCACCTTGGATACTGATTGCTCCGATTTTGTTTTTGTTATCCACAACAATTGCTCGATGCTTTTATTGGCTTCGTTCTAGGTTTTCTACAGTAATTCATATACTTCAATTGATTGATTTGTTGGTTCGGTTTTGCTATTATTTTTTTGAGTAGGTGAATTTCGTTTTTGGTTCCTTCTGTTAGATGTTATCCAGTAAGTACTTGCAGTTTAGTTAAGTTTTCTGTAGCTGTAGATGTTAAACGTGTGTAAGTTCATATGTTGATATGAAATGTGAATATAAGTTGGATAAGTTTGTTTTAAGTTGCTTAACTGCTTTGAACAAATGTTTGTGGGAATACATTCAGTGTTTGATGTTATGTGATTTAAGTAACGAGTAACGGCAGGGGAAATTTATTAGATCGGAGATGAAACAGTTACGGATGTCGTGGATCCCACTATAGAAAGTTTGAATGATCTGACGATCGCGTCGCGCCAGATGAGGGATTTTCAGCTTTTTTTCTTGTTAAGGACAGTTTTTATAAGTCGTAATTTGCCGTTTTGCTGTTTTTCTATTAGTGACGCTAATGCTACTTGATTTTTCGGTATTTTATATATGCCGATTACTGGTTTCACTTAAAGTGTATCTCAGTCAAGCATAGTAAATTGAGAAATGATGATGATCTTTGCAAAAATTACAACCGCAAACCGTATATCTATTTCCATGCAAGGCATGTCAATATATATTGGTTGCACTGTAACTTTTCTCTCCGTGGTCGGTTAAGATTGTGCACATCCTTCATGTATTTCTTATTTGAAATGTTTTGGGCCTTTTGGCTATCGACATATAGTCCTTTCTTACGTCTTTGTGTATTCTAACAATGAATAATTAAGTATGCTATATGATGAATACAATTTAAATAATTGAAGGAACCTTGGAGTAGGTATACATGCAAAAGTGATTGTTGTGGAAGAAATAAAATGGAATCATCATTTGTTTGTTTGGTTGTGTGTGTGCATGTATGTGTTTTTGAATTTATGAATCTGGTGTTTGTGCTCTCCTACATTTCACGTATCTCTTACAAGTTTAGGGTTTAGAGTTCCAAATGGTCAATATGTGTTTAATTTGGGGAGGGTATTTACGTCTTCAATTATGTTCACAGTACAATGAAATTTTTTATCATCCATATTCAAGCTTGCTAAAATCAAAGGAGAATGGTTTTGGCGCGTTTACATCGTGTTTTTTATGATGTTTTAGACAATCCCTTTTTCTAAGTCCTAATGCTGCCAAATATTTCAGGTCCTTCATAATATAGCAATTGCAGAATTCTTTCGAGATGGTTGTTCTGATCCCAAAAAGTTGCTTGAAGTAATTTACAGCATCAAGGTATGTTACTTTTATACATATAACATTCTTTACAATTTCTGCATAGTCTCAATTTTGCAATAACTTTTATTTTCATGGTTGGTAATTTGGGAAGCCAATTCTTATTTACCATTATGTATTAGAAAACTGAAATGGAATGATACCGAGTACTGACACTGGTTGAGATCAAAACAGCAAGATTGAAATGAAGGTAGACCTAGGTCATTATTTGTGCTTTTGTAAACTAAAAGTATACCTAACTTCTGAGCCCTTGATACTTATTCATGTAAGTATTTTGGGGCGCCATTAATTTCCAAATTGGCATATGGCTTCAGTAGATGGAATGGTTGTTTTCAATTGACGAAGGCCTTATTTGTATTGATATATTTTAGTCCGTGAATTGTTTCCTTCATTTCAATAAGAGTGCAGATAAATTTTCACTATCTTTTGTACCTAGTATTTTGTGATCGGTGAGAATTATTTTTTGTTTGAATTCCTTCTTCCCAGTCTCTGGTATTCTTAAAGAAGGAAAATGTTCACGCACATCCCTGAAAGATAGTATTACAAGTTAGGAAATACTGGTAGTGATGAGTGGAATAGGATTTTCTCTTAGAATGTTTATCAAGTAAAAATTGGTGCAGAAGATAGGAAGTCTTGTTTATATGCCTACAGTTTGCTGACCTTTATTTTGTCGCTTCTGTCATTGTTTCTCCCAATGAAAGGATCAAGTGCGGTTCACAGTCAAATACAACCTTTTGAAATCAACTTAATGCTGTTTTGTATATCTATAAAATTGCAGCTTAAGCTCTCATCTCTATTTATTTGTAATTTTGTACTTACTACTTCTCCTTTTTTCTTTGGGAGTTCGTTCAGAGAAAATACGACGAGCATACCCTGACTTCTGGGGATCAAGGAGAGCCAGTTAACAACGTCGCAAATAAAGTCGCTTTTGGATCCAAAGGAAGCAATAGCACCGACACAATGCATCCAGATGAATTTGAATCTACTGCCGCAGCACTAAATATTGTATGTTTATTTCGATCTCTATATTAATTTAATTTAATTTTGGCAATTGTTGTTTTGATTTTATTTCATGATGTGATTTTTGTTATTTAATGTCTGTAGGCCATCATCTGGTTTCATCTTCATGACTATGCAAAGACGGTATCAGTTTTGGAACCCCTATTTCAAAGGATTGATCCCATAACTGACGTATGCCTTATACTATTTGACATTATTTTCTTTTTAAAAATTACAACGGGGGTGTTAATGGATTTGTTTTGACCCTTTCTCTGTGTGCTCCTTCCTAAAGCAGTCAACAGCTCTACATATTTGTCTTCTGCTGCTTGATGCTAGCCTCGCCTGCCATGATGCATCAAAATCAGCTGTAAGTTCTGTACGATAATTTTATTAGCTGGTTCACTTTTTTAATGCTTGCAAGGTCTGTTGCTTAATGCTTTGCTGCCAACCATGATTTTCTCATCTCACGAGTGTATTATATACGTGTGTTATATGTACTTTATATGCATTTTTCAATTAAAATTTACATTAAACAGTTGAACTATGTACCTCTCTTTCTCTTTTTCTTTTTGCAACTCAAATGTTTCTTTCTAAACTAATAATGTTAAGCATAACAGCTGAATGTTTTCATCGATAATTTGTCCAGATGACCCTGAGGATAGGCCTAAATTAGACTTAGAACCACTGTTGTTAGGAGGATAGGCTGGGAAATATTGGAAACACCCATTCAAAACACTCTGCAATTGACAGGAGAAATATAGAAAAGAGGGTGAACGGGATGGGGGTATCTTAAAAATATCAATTGGTTTCGGCGTGGCTTAGAACCATTGCCGTTTACTTTACAATTTTATTCATCTTGTAGAGAGGACTCATCCTCTGTTATCCATACTTTCTTCTGGGTTTTCTTCTATTCCGGTTTTTGTACTTAACAGCATAATAGACAAAGAATATATCAGGAGCTAAAACGATGCATTTTGTAAATTCTACTCTATCATCTTCACTGAAGTGATTAAACTGAAAGTTTGTTACTCCCTCCGTTTTTTATTATAAGTCGTTTTTGACTTTTCACACATATTAAGAAATGTAATAATTGTAGTATGGAAAAGAGAAATTGTGAATGCTTTTACAAAATTGTCCTTTATTAATGATATTGGAAAAATAAATTTACGTAATTGAAAGGAGGGAGAATAATAAATATTTAAGGGTATAAAAGAAAAAATGACATTAATGATTCATTGGTATTATAAAGTGACTTATATTGTGGTACCAATTTTTTTTTCTCAAAATGACTTATAATAAAAAACAGAGGTAGTATACAACTGGGTTTACTTGACTCTTTCTTTTTTTTCCTGCTTAAAGATGATGTGAAAATTTCTTGGTAGTTGGCATATATTCTTGAACTCTCCTAGTTGCAGTCTGTCTGAGTTTTGTTAGTGGATGCCTTTTTTTTTTCCTGCTTAAAGATGATGTGAAAATTTCTTGGTATATTGGCATATATATTCTTGAACTCTCCTAGTTGCAGTCTGTCTGAGTTTTGTTAGTGGATGGCTTTATAGATTTATTTTTGTCTGTCCGCTTTTTTAGCTTCTCTAATTGTTAAGTGCACTGTTCTGAGCTGTGGGTCTGTGTTTAGGATGTGTTGACTTATCTGGAGAGGCTATTTAGTGGTACTGCGGGTCAAGGTGACTATGGGAATACAGCACAGCCACAATCTGCAAATCTAACCTCGAAGTCTGCACCTGTCACTATTAGTGAATCTGCTGCTGATCCATCCAGTTCTGATTTAGGGTCAAGTGCTAATACACCTGAAAATAATCTATCCAGAACTTTGTCTGAAGATGGGCTTGATTATGAAGCCATGATTTTGGATATGGGTGGACAAAATTTAACTAGGCCAATGGGCCCGTCTTCAAATGTTCTTTCTAGAGCTTTGGTTGACAGGTTTTCTTCTCTTGATTTAAAGCTTAAGTTGCAACTTTACAAAGTACAGTTTCTAATTCTTACTAGGAACCTGAAGATAGCAAAAAGAGAAGTCAAGCTGGCTATGAACATTGCACGAGGACGAGATTCATCCAGGGCTCTGCTTTTGAAATCTCAGCTTGAATATGCTCGTGGTAACCACCGCAAGGCCATAAAGCTATTGATGGCATCAAGTAATAATAGGACGGACACAGAATTTTCAAGCATATTTAACAACAATCTTGGGTGCATTTATTATCAGCTTGGGAAATATCAGACGTCCTCAATTTTCTTCTCAAAAGCATTAACTAATTGTTCGTCCTTGAGAAAGGAGCAACAATCAAAGCTGACCACTTTCTCGCAGGATATTTCTCTCCTTATAATTTATAATTGTGGTGTGCAGCACTTGGCTTGTGGAAAGCCAATTCTTGCAGCTCGATGTTTTCAGAAGGCAAGCTTAGTCTTCTACAAACAACCTCTCTTGTGGCTTCGACTCTCAGAATGCTGTCTGATGGCTTTAGAAAAGGGCCTGATCAAATCATGTCGGGTTCCTTCAGAGAAGTTGGAGGTTGGAGCTTGTGTTGTTGGGTTGGAAAAATGGAGGCAACTTGTTGTGAAAGATCAAATTCCAGGTAATGGACACTTGGAATCATCCAGAGGAAATGAACGTTTGCCAAGTGAAGACGGGGGGCTGAAGTTATCGATGTCCCTTGCTCGGCAGTGTCTCTTGAATGCTCTTCACTTGCTGGACTCGTACAGTACAAATCGTTTAAAGTCTGGCTTGCCCTCTAATTCTTCTGTGGAGAACGATACAAGTGAAGTGTTGCCTTCAAAGAATTCAAGTCGTAAAAACTCCCATGTAATTGATCCAAAGGCATTTTCAGTAGCAGCAGGTTTAGGTCAGATAAACTCAAATGGGGACACAAAAGAACAGAAGGGAGGAGCTAGTCAGGAACTCTTTCAGAACTCCTTATCGTATTATGAAGATGTCTGTAGAAGAGATAATCAATTGGTTAAGCAAGCTGTTCTTGCTAATTTAGCTTATGTGGAGCTAGAATTGGACAATCCAGTGAAGGCACTTGCAGCTGCAAAATCTCTCTTTGAACTTCCAGAATGTTCCAGAATTTACATTTTTTTAGGCCATGTTTATGCGGCAGAGGCACTTTGCTTACTGAACAGACCAAAGGAAGCTGCTGAGTACTTATCGTATTATTTGTCTGGAGGAAACAATGTTGACTTGCCATTCAGCCAAGACGACTGTGAGAAATTGCAAGTAGAGAGGACTGTTGAATTTGAAGAGGTAAATGTTGGATCCACTGCTGCCAAGAGTTGTTATCAGGATACACAAAGTATTGTTTTCCTCAAGCCAGAGGAGGCACGGGCAACAATTTATGCAAACTTTGCTGTAATGTCTGCAATGCAGGGTGAATTTGAGAAAGCCAGTATGTTGGTTACCCAGGCATTGTCCATATTGCCCAACAGTCCAGAAGCTACACTCACTGCAGTTTATGTGGATCTCCTGCTTGGTAAGCAACAGGAAGCTCTAGCCAAACTAAAAAGTTGTAGCCGTATTAGGTTCCTGCCCAGTGGAATAACATTAAATAAATCTTCATGAGTGTTGTATGCATGGTTTTATCATTGTTCCTGCCCCACCTCTCAGCGTTAGTTAGCAGGTAGCTTAATCCTTCCATAGCATTTGTAACATATATATGTTAAATTCAGGGAATAATTTTTTTTTTTTTTTTTTTTTTTTTTTTTTTTTTTTGTGATTCATTGTCCTTAAAATTCTCAAATTTAGGGGTCAGCAGTTACTGGTGGAGGCTGTGTTTTGATTAGGGTTAGTGCCCACCTTTGAAATTTGAGGTGTAGATCTGATTCGGATTGTGTTTTTATTTTCTAGAGGCTAATTTAGTTGATATTCAAGAATAGAGGTCATGTGCTTATATTGAGAAAACCGAAAAGTGGATAGTTGTTTTGGAATTCCATTTTTAATCCAAAAAAGTTCACTCTTTCTAATTCTGTCCCAAATGGGCGCTATTATCGCATTTTGGGCATTTTCCCAGTTGCTGTTTGCAATGAAGGTAAACTGCCTGTATTTATTTTGCATGGGCTGGCGATATAACAGTATGATGGACGCCCTACTCTTTTCTTCTGTGCAATCTTGCATAGGGCCTTTACTAATTCTGAGGCAGGAGTATATTGGAGAGCTATTTTTACCATCCGCCTTGTTTTCTTAAAAACCACACATCTCCTGGTTTTTCAATCCAGATGGAAACAAATAGTTTTATTTTTGCATCTTCGATGGTAAATACGGAAACAGCACGGACTAGACTGGTTTTAAAAAATTATGGGGGTGGGAAAAGAACAATCAAAATACTTGAATTCTTTGGGCTCATTTGAATTTAATAAGAGGAAGAGAAGACAAGACAAAGGCAGTTTATCTTATATGCATTAATCTATAAAAATATATTATTGAAAAGATCCTTGAGGTAATATATAGAAAATATTCTATCGAACATTCGGTTAATCCCCACATTTTTAATGGGTTGATTTAAAAACTTTCTAAAATAAGTTATCCTGATATCCCAGAAAAAAGTTATGCCGATGCATTTGATTCCGTAGTGCATTATACAACTAAGATACTTTTATTCTATAAGTTTATCATATCATGTTAACTAGTTGAAAATTAAATCGGTGATGGAGGCTAGTTTAGAATGGAGTAGGAACTATTTGTTCTTCCTGTGACTGTCTTTTTCTCGATTCATTGCCACAATTGACGAACAGTGGCACATTCGCCACAATGAAACCCGTGGCACATTCGCCGCAATGAAATCCAACCCTGTTTCTGGCACCCTCTACTGCACTTTCTATCAGTCACATTTGCCTTCCGAGTCGTCGACGAATGGGCCAGTCATGGGAAATAAAGGAAATTTTTTTATTTATTTATGTGATGTGACTCACACATTTAAAAATTTAAAATTGGTCTTGGATATTTTAGAGATGTATCTTTAAAAGCTTTTTTAATCACCTTATCTTTCTTAAATCAAACAATCATTCAAATTTTAACAAAATTTGGGCTGAAGATACATTTGCGAAATTTTTAGAGTGTATTCGGTGATGTATCTCCGAAAACTCTACGAGTGTATTTTAAGCTATTTAAACATTATTTTGGATATGCAATTTCAAAATCTTACCTGCATGAATTATGGACAAAAATATTGTTTTAAGTTTGTATTTTTTTGAATCAAAAGTTATTTTAATCAGACTAATAGTGCTATAATTTGATTTAAACATTAATGAACACAAACATTATAAAACAAAGTAATGCATTAATTAAAAAACATCCCATAATATTACAAACATTGTTCTCAAAGTAAAGAAAATAAAACAAAAACATTCTAAAATACAAAAAAAAAAAATATAACTTATTATGTATGCCTAATCCTAACCCCTGACTGCTCCTCTGTCGTCGGTAACCCAAGATATTTCGTGACTCGGTAAGAATGGTACGCGCGAGGGCAACTGCATCATCGCCACCTCTCTCAAACAACACTGACTCTATGCCCTCATACGTAATCTACATATTTTGACAGATCGACAACACATCAATAACATGGTCATCCATGGCTTGCTCATTCTCCAGGATCTCCTCATGAGTAGGTCTAGGTGGATGTTCAGAAGCGTCTGGTGTCATGACAGGGTGTGACACACTATTGAACCAAGTCATGTAAATCGTTCATATAAGACAACTGAGTTGTGGCTGACATACTTCGATACTCTTTGGTACCTATGCCTCTCGTAATCTGCCAATATGTCATCAAAATATTTGTAGATGATACTATTAGAAGCAGACTTGTAGGGGATCTCAAAATGATACACACATATTCAAACTGACGCATGTATCGCTTTTTCAGATACCTACACATCATATTCCTCGCACATGTCAGCCATCCAAAGTAAAATGAAATGGGATCAAAGACAACAATGTCCCAGTGAGTGATGTATGATGTCTAGTTGATGTCATCATGTTGAGTCTGCTCAATATACACACGTAATGGCTGCACAACATCATTCCCTCTATGTAGGAAATGTATCAAGCACGTGGAAAAACCTTAGTATGGTCTACCACACGATTAAACTCATGCATTCGATGAAAGTGTGATATGATCCATCCCTGAAAATGAATAAGAAAATAATATTAGTAACAAGTGTAAAAAAAGTGCTTTTAAAGTTAATAGTGACTATGGAAATTATCGTCAGCAGGGTGCAGGGGTCTATCATTTGCTTTGTCGTCCCATGAGAACTTTCGCTCAGTTTCACTCGTGAATGGTTGACAAGTAGATGAAGTACTTCAGTATGCCATATCAACGCAGGTTACACTTTTGTTTACAAACATGGACATGTCAACCAAAAATAGGAGGAAACACTTTAAAGCACAATCTCAATGATAGGTAACCCGTAAATCATCGCCGTTAACAACTAAAATTCTCTTTACTCTTTTTTGATTTTACAATAAAGTCAATTTGTAATTCTATTTCTTTTTGTACGTTATTGTAAAATATAATAAAGATGTAAATAAAAATAGTTTTACATTTGCAAGGTATTAGTAATAAAGTGATAAAAATATAAGATATTTTGAATTAAAAAATCAATGTCTTCTTTTTATTTAATTTTAAATGTTAAAATGCATTAAAACAAACCAAAAGCTAAATTCAAATTAAACTAAAATGGAAGGTTGAAAATGTAAATGCCATCTATATGAACCAAAATTAAAATCAACTGTAGCCTTGACTTTAACTTAAATGCAAATTAGAGAGTGATGCAAGATGCATATGAAATAATGAGAAAATGATGAAAGTATTATTTAAGATCTTAAGGTTAAAACTTTGACTTTTGACTTAATTGAGCCATATGCGGATGAGTTATTTTTGACTGATGAAAGCATATGACCAATTTATCTAGTCATGTTTATGCAGATGAACTGAAAAATGCAATGTAAATTAAAGGTAGAATAAATTTGGGGTAAAACATTCACATAATATATTCTACAAATTTAGATCAATCCACCTTGGCCTTTTTCTTGTGACATGAACATTGTTTAAGTTATTTTTCATTATTGTTGCACCTGGTCTTTCAAAGTTCTTTCTAGTCCATGCATCATCTGATGGAACAAAATTATATATATATATATATATATATATATATATATATATATATATATATATATATATATATATATATATATATATATATATATATATATATATATATATATATATATATATATATATATATATATATATATATATATATATATATATATATATATATATATATATATATATATATATATATATATATATATATATATATATATATATATATATATATATATATATATATATATATATATATATATATATATATATATAATACATAAACAAACATAATGATTAACACAACAAGCAGAATAATAACAATATTAGAAAAATACCTTAAACTCTCCAAACCATAAGTCCCTTGTATTAATGTCTATATTTTCCCATGAGTTCCATGACATATTATAATTACTCCTAATGATATCTCCAATCCTATCGGCACACGATGGCAAAAATCTACAAACAATACATATTAATAGTTAAGATATTTATATAGTATATGAAAAGAATTGAAAAAATATATACATATTGTAATATCTTAATTTTTATCCATAAAATCCCACATATCGTTTGCATCCTGTATCATTAGCAAGATCACCAAGCACCTGTATTTTTTCTTTATTTGTTTTTATTTGATTACTCATGTTTACTAACCCTAATCAAAATATCAAAAATATGTGTTTTTTTTTTCTTTACTAACTCATTTTTTAGGAGGAGGTTTGGAATCAAAAACACCAATCAACAGTTCCTCAGCGCAAATAAAATTCATCTGAATAAAAAGTCAAACTTGATCCGCAAACAATTCAAAGTCATTTGATCAAGAGTTTCCCAAGATTTAATTGTTTATTGCTCAAGATACTCTAAGGTTCATGTGTTTATTTCTATGTCTTCTCTGACAAGTCAAAAGAATCGAGGCAGAGCCATAGCAGTGCAACAAAAAGGCAATTTTTCACAATTTTTGTTGTGTTAATCGATTAACACTATATGATTAATCGATTAACTAGTGCGTTTTTTTGTGAAAATGAACCAAATTCAAATTCTGCAGCATTTTGAAACTAAAGTTCACTTGTCTCATCATGAGAATATTTTAGATCACTTCAATTTTTTTCCCTTACCTCATCATAATTAAGTCTCATCTTACACCCTCATTAATCATCACCTAATCTTGATTTTGCCTCCAAATTCAAATTTCAAGCCTAGATCAAAGGCAAATCAAATTCCAAACCACCAAAATTTTCAAGCCTAAATACTATAAATAAAGGTCTCATTTCATTCATTCTTCAAGATTTTGAGAGCCAATTTAACCTTGTCAAAATTCCTTCTCATTCTCTCAATTTTCTTCAACCACCAAATTCACCAAAGCTCTTTCTTCCATAAGCTTTTCATTGAAGCTTACTAACCTTTGAGCTAGAACCTTCATTCAATCACTTTTTTATCATCAAATTTTGTAGATCAA